ATTATTTCCCAGTAAAAGTAGGCCTTAGACAAGCATGTGTGATGTCACCTTGGTTGTTCAATATATTTATAGATTGGGTTGTAAGAGAAGTGAATACGAGGGTCTTGGCAAGAGGTGTGGAGTTAAAAGATAAAGAATCAAATACTAAGTGGAATTGTCACAGTTGCTTTTTGCTGATGACACTATGCTCTTGGAAGATTCTGAAGAGAAGTTGCAGAGGTTGGTGGGTGAATTTGGTAGGGTATGTAAAAGAAGAAAATTAGAAGTAAATATAGGAAAGAGTAAAGTGATGAAGATAACAAAAAAGATTAGGTGATGAAAGATTGGATATCAGACTGGATGGAGAGAGTATGAAGGAGGTGAACATATTCAGATATTTGGGAGTGGACGTGTCAGCAGATGGGTCTATGAAAGATGAGGTGAATCATAGAATTGATGAGGGGAAAAGGGTGAGCAGTGCATTTAGGAGTCTGTGGAGACAAAGAACTTTGTCCTTGGAAGCAAAGAGGGGAATGTATGAGAGTATAGTTTTACCAATGCTCTTTTATGGGTGTGAAGCATAGGTGATGAATGTTGCAGCGAAGAGAAGGCTGGAGGCAGTGGAGATGTCATGTCTAAGGGCAATGTGTGGTGTGAATATAATGCAGAGAATTCGTAGTTTGGAAGTTAGGAGGAGGTGCAGGATTGCCAAAACTGTTGTCCAGAGGGCTGAGGAAGGGTTGTTGAGGTGGTTCGGACATGTAGAGAGAATGGAACGAAACAGAATGAATTTGAGAGTGTATAAATCTGTAGTGGAGGGAAGGCGAGGTAGGGGTAAGCCTAGGAAAGGTTGGAGGGAGGGGGTAAAGGAGGTTTTGTGTGCGAGGGGTTTGGACTTCCAGCAAGCATGCATGAGTGTATTTGATAGGAGTGAATGGAGACAAATGGTTTTTAATACTTGACATGCTGTTGGAGTGTGAGCAAAGTAATATTTATGAAGGGATTCAGGGAAACCGGCAGGCCGGACTTGAGTCCTGGAGATGGGAAGTACAGTGACGAAAGTTTTTCTTTTTCGGGCCACCTTGCCTTGGTGGGACTCGGCCGATGTGTTAATAAAAATAAAAAATAAAAATAGTAATTATAATAATATTGGCAGTTTGGAGGGATATGTTGTGTATCTTTATACGTATATGCTTCTAAACTGTTATATTCTGGGCACCTCTGCAAAAGCAGTGATAATGTGTGAGTGTGGTGAAAGTGTTGAATGATGATGAAAGTATTTTCTTTTTGGGGATTTTCTTTCTTTTTTGGGTCACCCTGCCTCGGTGGGAGACGACCGACTTGTTGAAAAAAAAAAAAAAAATTATAATAATATGTAATAACAGTAAGGAGAAATTCAGAAGGCTGCCAGTAGTTGGTGCCACGATCAGCAAAACATTGGTAACCACTACCACTCTTCACCTGTCTAGACTTAAGTAGTCTATAAGTATTAGATTGAGTCTGCCCAAAATGCCTCAGCATTATAGTGGCTTTCTTTGCTCCAATCATATTATGTAAACACACATTGTAACCTTTGCAAAGAAATAAATATTTTATTTATTCATTTATTCAAGGAACCTCCCTTGAGGGGGAAATATGCAGCGTGAAATTTCATTCATATCTAGAAGCAAAAAATCGACCAAACGACGGTTTGTATCCTGAAAAGTTTGCATGGTGGGGTGTTCATAAGCTGAGGTTCCACCATATATATCTACTTATTGTATGCAACACAATTACCACACAAACATTATCACATTGTTTACAAAACCTGTTTGCACAAACCCATGCTGCCTTCCCCACCATCCACATTGTCTTCCCCACCAACCATGCTGTCTTCCCCACCACCCACATAGAAATAAGTCACTTAGTCTGACTTTTTTGGGTTATCCTAGGTAATCTACACACACATGCTGCTATGTATGATAATCTATGTAACTGTATTTGTGTATACCTGAATAAACTTACTTATTCTTTGAGACATGGGAAAATGTGAGTTTCCTCTTTTGCTGTGGTACAAGTGAATGTGAATGGGATGGCCCAGCACCAAAGGTGGAAAACTGATGATCGTCTGGGTTTTCAGCACTTTTTCTGTATCCTGGGCATTGCTTTCAGTCACAAACTCTCCAAAACCATGAGATTCTTCACTGACACTTCAATCTGTGTTAGCACTATCACTTAGAAAGGAAAAAGTCCCAATTCACCAGGGAGTGAGGTATTCCTTACCGCTAGGCACTCCCACAATGCACTACGGCCTCCCCAATTTTTTTTTATGTTGTGCACACTGACCACACAGACCCATTCTCTCACATGTAGGCCTACCAGCTTATCCCTGCTAGATCTGAAGCCACTAGAATTTTGGCGTAGTACTACGGCACAACACTGGCTTGCAAACCGTAGTACTTTGGCACCGACAGTGAAAGGGTTAATATAAGATCCTTAAATGAAACTGGAAGTTGCACTGTCTTTATAGTACCAATTTTAATTAAGAAAGTTCAAAGATGATTCTATATTAACAACAATATCCTAAAATGTCTTAAAACTCTGAAACCATTTCCCTCCATTCTTAAACCTCTTCTCTACCCAATACTAAGTAATAATTTTGTTTTGGCAACACACACACGCACACACACTCATATATATATATACATATGCATGTATTTGCAGTTACCAAAATATTGTGCTAAAATCACTACCATCCTGTGAAAAGAATATTTTAATTAAATTTCAGATGAATAGATGATAAAAATATGTAATCTTTCGTATGTTACACCATAAGGTGAGACTAAGATAAGGTGATAAAGTTATTGAGAATGACTTCAAGTGAGAATGTCACTGCAACTCTAATTCTTCTTATATAAAAAACATACCATATAGTATATCTCAATGCTGGGAAAGATAATGGAAGCACAACTGTCATCATTCTTGAAAATTAACATGCAGTCGCTCAATACTATTAACCCTTAAACGGTCCAAACGTATTTATACGTTTTCTCATGTGGCACCCCAAATGTATATATATGTTTCCTTTGTCATTCATTCAACATTGGCATGATAACCCTGAGTTGCCTAGACATGAAGAATGGTGTGCACACTCACTGTGCACCATATGAAAAAAATTGGGGAGGGACTGGGTAGCATATGCTCTTTTTTCCTATTAAAAAAATTACAATTTTTTTTTTTTCTCAAAAAAATTGGAGCGCAACGCGAGAGAACGTATACATACGTTTGGACCATTTAATGGCTAATAACAAACAAATTTTAATAAGACAGAACTGCTCTCAAGCTGGGGTAGATAAAATATCAAAATTAAGTGGAGGTGTTATCAAAATATGTTCACTTACGAATTTTGATTTGATATCAGTCAGAAAATCAAATGTATAATCAATTAACATACTCTACTTGTATAATATTTTCAGCTACACTTTCAACTTACTAATTAACAATCCTACCGGATTGTTCAGTCACACGACTTACTGATTTATTTAGAATTTCATCTAAAAGATTTACATTGGCTCAACATTTTTTAGATACCTTACTGTGGATTTCAACTGTATCCCAAAAAAAAACTACTATCAGACTCTTGAAAATGAAGTCTGCAATCTTTACAAAATGTTACGTAAAGTCATTTTGTGTACAGTACATTAGCAATCTTTTTATGGCACACCAAACAATAGGTATGTGACACATAAGCACTTGTGTACTATATGCAAGTACGTACTTGAATATTGCAAGTTAATACATATATGTGAATACTTGAATGTTTTATGTTAGTACATGTGTGCTATATGTATGTTTCATGAGAAAACATGAATGTTATATCTCTTCTGTCACTTACAAAACTAACTTTTTAAATCTGTTCAAGATGATGGAATCTTTCTGTCTTATAAGTACTGTAACAATATACATTTTAATATCTAGGAGTCAAGGTAACCTCTTACATTTCTAAGTGAATTTTGCATCTTTCCTCACTCTATGATTTTCTGTTCTTTCATATTTAATTCCACTACTGAATATAAAAATAATTAAGAAAAATAGACAATATCATGGGAGCTTGAAAAATTTCATAAGTGATAAACTACTATGTGCAGAAGTAGTTGAGTAAATTTTAAATGTTTTAATTAATTCATTCTTCGCACATGCCAAATTCATTTTCCATTTCTCTGTACCTGAGGTGACAATAATGTATGCTTATAAATGTGCAAGAACACAGTGTAAAATAATAATGGATGATGTACTACAATTGCCATAACTGGCATTACAAATATACTGCAATATAAAGCACAACAGTAAGTCGCTACACACACTTGTGGGAATGAATAGTACCACTAAGATAGGTATAACCAACTAAGGTTTAGCATTGTCTTGTGATGATGATGATAATAATAATAATAATAATAATAATAATAATAATAATAATAATAATAAGAGCACAGATTCATGGATAGTGTCAGAACTTGTTCAACAAGATACAAGAAGATAAATTACACATGTGCAACACTTGGGTATCTTTATTGAGGGAACATTTCGCCACACAGTGGCTTCATCAGTCCATATGAAGGAGAACATTGAAGAACAGGAGGAGTCTGAGATAATCAGTCCCTCAGCCTTGAGTCGATGTGGTCAGTCCATCAATCTTGAAAAGAGTATAGCATATGTGTATAGAAGTAGCTTATATACCGTAGGCAGGAGAGGTGCAGCAGTCGTAGGTGACATCACATTTGTCTAATGAGGAAGTAGGTCGTGCCCAAGGGTTAGACAAGTGAAGAAATCCCTGTATTAACCGTTGGGCATGGCCTACTTCCACATTGGACAAATGTGATACCACCTACGACTGGTGCACCTCTCCTGCCTACGGTATATAAGCTACTTCTATGCACATATGCTGTACTCTTTTCAAGATTGATGGACTGACCACATCAACTCAAGGCTGAGGGACTGATTATCTCAAACTCCTCCTGTTCTTCAATGTTCTCCTTCGTATGGACTGATGAAGCCACTGTGTGGCAAAATGTTCCCTCAATAAAGATACCCAAGTGTTGCACATGTGCAATTTATCAACTTGTCGGTTCTGTGAACCATTCATCTACAAGATATAAGAAATAGATGAGAAAGGTTAACACTGTCAATATATGAGCAAGAGGCCATGGTTATAAACTTAGAAGAGCTTCCAAAAAAAGATATTAAAGGTTCTTCACAATGGTAGAACAGTAGAGCTAAAAGAGACAATACTCGGTGCAACCACCATTGGAAATTAAAAGTAAATGCATTATATATAACAAATTAAATATCAAAGACCAGACACCACAAGCTAAGCCCTGCTTTCCTAGCTACAAATATATAGATAAACTCCCCAAGAACAACTTCCTAGTTACTGTTACACCCTAGACAGTGGTTTCCAAACTATTTAGTCAATATTTTAAATCTTGTTTGCCTCACAATCCAAATGCCACCTATACCTATTTGCCATTCCAGCAAATCATTGTTAAGCAGCCCTTCTGATTATGAATCTAACCACTAAAGCTTTTACGGAATTTTTTTTAGGTGATAAGTTTCCCTCAAAAGCCAAGGTTTGTGACAATTGGTAAGCTGCTAAAATCAAGCTGAGCGGACAAACAAAATATCTTGATAAAGATATTTTCATTATTTGTGCTTCTTTTGGTGATCTTTTTTGTTTTACATTTACTTTTTATTTTGATGTTATAGATCATCTTCAGTGCATCAGAACCAGAATGCTCTTATAACCAAAGTTCAGACTGTGATTGTATTAACCCCCTACAATAGAAACTGACTCAATAGACTAACAGATACCTAGAGAAGTGATACATAATTATTATTATTATTATTATTATTATTATATTCTTAAAAAAGGGGCTAGACCAGTATGGGTCATTCAGCACTACATGGCAAATGGGTGCTGAGATTATGAAAGTTGTTTGAAGAGTGAGCTAATGTGCAAAAGAGAAAGTCATATTTGGTGTAATACATCAGTTTCAGTTAAGAAGTCTATAATATGTCAGTACATATATTTAATATAGGACTTCATTATGAGGGCAGCCTGGGTGGGGGTATTAAGGAATTAAGAGAGACATTAGAATTGAAGTTAACATGTTCTTTGATATATATGGCACATAGGTGACTAGCAATTAGTGGTATAATGTTTGGCTTGCAAAAGAAAGGAAGTGGATTCAATGCCCCTGTACAGTAATATGTATGCCTGGTATCCTTGTTTACCTAGCAGTGAATAGTTACAGCACCCAGGTGTTAGCCGACTGGTATGGGTCTCATCTTTGGGAAGAGGGCTGAAGAACTCCCAATAGCAATAAGCCAGACTTTGAAGGGGTGAATATTGGTGTTAGTTTTACTAATACTGGTGATAATTTTATAGGTAAGAAGTGAATGGGATAATGAAGAAAATATAATGACCCCGTAATAACGAGAAATTAGATCCTGCATACAAGCTTTCCAATGGGATAAATGAAATGTCGCTAAACACAGACATACAATATATGAAGATACGTAACAAGTCCAGAAAGAGTAGCTGTAGAAGATGAGGAATATACTCTACCTAATCACCATAGTGGAGCTTCAATAAAATTACTTACAGATGTGTGAAGATGTAGAAGAATTCGCCTATCAGTTTTCCAAGAAAAATTACAAAATTTTAAACAGATTAAGTCTGATGATATATGAAGTTTTCAGGGCACTGTATTTTCAACAGATATTCAGTAATCAAAGTGGCAGCAAAGGAATTCATCAGGCAAGACAGAATGAAGGAACTATACATGAAGAACCTGGAATGGGTAATGACTGGATGCTATATAAAGATTATTAAGCTTGTTTTAGATACAAAGAACCTGAAGTTGTGAAACAGCAAAGATATAAGCATTGTCAACTGCCTGTTTTAACCAGTCACCAGTTTATGCATTTGTGTCAACACAGTGGCAAAAATCACCCATATACAAGGAAGATAAAATTTCTTGATATAGAACAGAGACTATATTGTTGATAGCTATTAGAAACATGGTTGTGGTATGTCCTCAGCTTAAAAGAAGATGGAGGAAAGGCTGCTGTCTGTCTCAACATGAAATTATCTGTATTATCATAAAGACAAGAAAAAGTCTAATCAGGCCCCACAGGCCAAAGGAAAGGGCCTGTAACAAGATGCGATTTTGCATGGCAGAGTTTTGAGCTTTTTCATTGGTCAGAAAAGACTACCACAACAAACTGATCTTCAACCATGGGCTCACCAGAGTACAAGATCTATGATGGAACAGTCCTTTCCTTAGCCTAACTGATGGGTTATAAACAGCTGTGGGTCTCCAAATACCACTATATGTTCAAATAATTTGCAAATGGGTCTCTATAATGGGATGGGTCATGCCCTAATACACTCAGTTTTGAAAAAGAAGGACCACAGCAGAGTTTCACTGCTCTTTCAGACTACATGTAGTTCCAATTGATGAGGTCTACTATAACAAGTATGTAATCAAATGATGAAGGGTAAAAGTATTGAAGCACAGGCATATAAACATCATTAGGTCCAGCTGATTGGTAGGTAAGACACTTAGGCAACTAAATGTGTCTTACCTACCAACCTGTCGGTATTGTATACGATTTTGATATTCAGGTCCAGCTGAAATAGATTCACACCTATAAGTTACTAATTTAAGTTCAAAAAGGGAAACAGAGCATTATACAGTTCATCACTATTGCGAGAGGTAAGACCCAACAGAGTAGAGTCACCTGGTCACATAAACACTTGCCTGCTAATTTCTGAACCTTTTTCACTACTGGACTCATAAAGAAGCTGGCTTTCAGAGACAAGATATAAGTATGCTGTACACTTAACTGCCTGTGTGATGTGATATTCAAGAGCTCTTGTTTATTTGAAATGTAAATAGTGATCATTAACCCTTAAACTGTCCACATGTAGATATACGTTCACGTGCGGCAGGCTCCAAACGTAGATCAACATTTTATTTTTCATTCTTTCAAAATTGGTGCGATAGGCCTGAGTCACCTAGACACGAGAGAATGGATATGCACACTCAGTGTATGCCCTATAGAAAAAATTGGGGATGCTGGGGTACTGCGTGGTAACACCAGTTAGTTTCAGCTCCATCTTGGGTCAACATCATGGCAAACCCCCACGAGTCACTGACGCCTTATCATATTAACACTACTATTCTCAGAAAGTGATACAGAATGCAAGTATAGTGGTTTTGACTCCGATATAGCCACTAAAGATCAAGGAATTAGTGAAATTTTTGTTGATAACCCAGATGATCCTCAGGCCATGACCTCTGGGGTGGCCAGTGTTTATAGTGTGGACAGTGTGGCCATGCCAGACCCTCAGCCCAGCACTTCTGAGGTGGCCAGTGTGGCCACAACAGACTCTCAGCCCAGCACCTCTGGGGTTGCTAGTGTTACTTCCCAAAGGCAACTCTGCAAGAGGAAATTATCATTTTCCATGTGTTTTGGTGATGACAATAGTGAAAGTGATATAAGTGATGATGATGAAATCGATTTTATGCCAATAGATGATTCGTCAAGTGAAAGTGATTAGCATTATTCCCAAGTGAAACGTACTTTTAGGTGTCATAACCTACGTTCAGGCAGTGTGCCATGTGTAGTGTAGTCGGCGACAAGGGTCGTGGCAGGTCACGATCCAAAACCTCAGCCACTGATAGTGATAGTGATAATGAGGGTGAATATGCTGGGATGGAGGAAGAGGGGGGTGGCATGGTGCCTGGACCTCGTGGTGCGGTGCGTGGGCAGACAAAGGACCACCTGGCACCCTCTCAACCATGTGCTGCCTCCACTCCTGCTCCCCCACGCCCCATGCCACAGGTCCACCCTGCACCATCTGATCGCGAATGGAACTGGACAGAAAGTACACCATTTGTGCCACATCCTTTCAATTTTGATGCCAGTAGAAGTGGCATCATGCCACACTGTCCCATCGCAAATGAATCTACAGAGCTAGACTATTTTCAACTATACTTTGATGAGCCGATAATGAACCTAATTGTTACCCAGACCAACATGTACTATCAGCATACAATGGACCACACAGATGTTTCAGTCTTCATGGCTGCACAGGTGCAAAGATACAACTGTGGCTGAAATGTATTTATTCCTTGGCACTGTCATGCTTATGCCACACACATATAAGAACAATATAGCACACTACTGGTCCACAGACCACGTCATCAGTACTCCAGTCTTCTGTGACCTCCTTCCCTGCAACAGATTCACTCTGTTGCTACGAATGTTGCACTTCTCAGACAGGAATACGCCAAACAGAAATGACCTCTTATACAAAATCCGGAAATTGTTTATGTATCTGAAGCAAAAATTCAGTGCCTACTTATATCCATTCAAGAACATTGTTGTTGACAAGTCCTTGGTTCTGTTCAAGGGACGACTGTCATTCAAACAACATATACCAAGCACATGTAATCGCTTTGGTATAAAACTCTTTATGTGTGACTGTGAGACTGGTCTTGTGTTGGATGTCATTACCTACACAGGGAAAAATACACTCGGCGATACAAGGCGCATGTTAGGCATTTCTGGGGATGTTGTTTGCAAGATGATGGGGCCATACCTTGGCAAAGGTCATACATTGTTCACAGACAGTGGTATACAAGCCCTATGCTCACAGATTTCCTACATGTGAACAATACTGATATATGTGGAACAGTGAGAAGAGGTAGAAAACACATGTCAAGGTTCACTGGAGGAAGTCTAGTAGAAGCGTTTCATGCCAATGACATCATGGCACTGACATGGCATGACAAACGGGACATGACATTGCTGTCAACCATCCACAGAAACGAGATGGTACAGACAAACAGACTGAGCAGGTTCAACAATGAGCCTATTGTAAAGCCAGCTGCTGTCATTGACTATACAAACAATATGCGACTAGTCGACAAGTGTGACATGATGATAGGGTTTGTTGACTGTGTGCGTAGGAGTCGCAAGTGGTATATAAAAGTTTTTTTCCACCTTGTAGACATTGCAATGCTCAATGCCTTTAACATGTATGAAATAAAGACTGGGAAGTGACAACAATATGCAAAATTCACCCTCAATGTCATGAAGCAGATAGCGAAAAAAGTATGGTACCACACCTTTACCTCTCACTCCACAGTGACCTGTCACCCCACAACAGCGACCTGTCACTCCACAAGAAGGGGGGGAAGTGCCTGACCAAATAATCCCTAACTGTCATTGCATGGTACCATTACCATCTACTCCAAAGAAGAGGTACTCTCAGAAAAAGTGTATTGTGTGTGCTTACACTAAACAGTGACCCCCGAGTGTGAAAAGACACACGATACGTGTGCCAGCAATGTGGGGTGGCACTCTGTATGAATCCATGCTTCTTGGAGTACCATACAATGGTGGACTTCTAGAAACATAATGGGACTTGTATATGTAAACAATAGTATGTGATTGAACCAGGTGTACAAATTCATTTATCAATGTGAACATGTGTGTTTGTGACAGTATGATTACTAATTCAGTACAAAACATTTGCGTCTCAACAAGAATTGGCTATCAAATCAAAAGATCTGCAACAAAATATTATTATCATAACATGACAACAACAAAAAATAGAAAAGAATTGGAAAAAACACGATAAATGTTTATTATTTCTGCAAGTGGCAGTGCTCCACGTTGCCGACACCTCATCATTTAGTACCAACTTCGCGGGCTTATATCTCGGTAAGTACTGACCCTAAAAAAAAAATTTTTATCCTATACCATTTATAAAAATGAGCTCTTCAATTTAAAAATAAAAAACTATTTTTTTTATTTTTCAAAATATTCGGAGCGCTGCGCAGGCGAACATATATCTATGTTTGGACAGTTTAAGGATTAATATAAATGTATCCATAAAGGCAAAGAGATACACTCTGCAGAATAAGTCTCTATTCTAATAATGTGTCTCTTCTATAACTGTTTATATTATTTGCTGGTTAAACCGAACCTGTAATTGCCTCACACAATGTGTTTTAGACAAATGAACCTCTGCTGCTACCATCCAAGAAGTGAAACTGAGAAGGAAGGCTGAGGAAGAGAATTCATTGCAAGAACCTGCACCTTTATCACCAAAGTAATGCAGGAGAGGACTGTTCAAAGAGCTATGGTAGAGGAAGTAGAGAACTTAGTAAAGAAAGTAGACTTAATTGAAATAAAGGCAGAAGAGTGGGGGTACTAGGGATACCAAATTCAACTGGTTATGCATAAATGGCAGAGAAGGGCATGTAATAAATGAGTTGTAATTTGATGGGCAATTGGAACATAAATTTGTCAGAAAGTGGTCATCGTTTATAACTTGGCTTTACATACCCTCTTTCTCCTATAAACTGAAACAAAGAAGCCCACTTTAAAGCATCAATGAAACAAAGAATAGGGGAGGAGGGCTGTATATTTCACTCTCCAATGGCCTCTTTAGCCAATTCTAAAATGAGCCTCAATTAAAATATATACAGTAGGGCCCCGCTGTATGGCATTTCACTTTACGGCGTTCTGCTAATACAGACATTTCAAATTATGACCAAAACTCGCTATACAACTCCCCCCACCTGTCCTAATATGGTCACCACACCCCACCCCATTTGTTTACATTCTCCATAAGTATATCTATTATGTCTGGAAACTTTCCAAAATTTCAAATATTGCATATTTTATATGTAATCTGATAATTATACTTATGTGTACCTGTATCTAAATATACTTACACACTGTGCTAGCATGCAGGTATACAGTGGACCCTCGGCATTCGATACTAATCCGTTCCTGAGAGCTATCGAATGTCGAAAATATCGAAAGTCAAATTAATTTTCCCCATAAGAAATAATGGAAATCAAATTAATCCGTGCAAGACATGCAAAAGTATGAAAAAAAAATTACCACATGAAATATTAAGTTTAATGCAATAGAATAATTACAATAACAACAATAACAACAGATTAATAACAATAGAATAATTGACACTTATCTTTAATAAAGATCTGGTGATGATTAATGGGATGGGAGGAGGGGAGAGTGTGGATGGTGTTAGTGTTTAGAAGGGGAATCCCCTTCCATTAGGACTTGAACTGGCAGCCTCACCATGCCTGAAATGCCTAGCCATGCTAGGTGTTCTAGTGGTACACTCTGTAATTATTATTTTACTACATGTAAACCACACAATAACCAAATTCTGTAAACTCAGCATTGTAATCCTTATAGAGAATAAATTTTTGAATTTGAATTTTTGAATTTGTGTATGCCACTACGATTCTTAAATCTTTCAAACCAACCTTTGCTGGCCTTAAATTCACTCACATCACCACTAGTTGCAGGCAATTTCTTTACCAAATCATCATGCACTCCGACACACGCACTCCACTTTCGTACTTTGCAATTATCTCTTTCTTCATTTCAATAGTCATTAGCACCTTTTTTCTCAAGCTTTCTTGGGGCCCATGGTTACTTATTTTGCAGAAAAAAGCACTGGCTGGCTTGTAAACACTGGCACACATGGTGCAGTTCAGGCCACACGTGGACACGTTTCGTACGAATCGTATCGAATGTCAGGTTTTCTATCGAATGTTGAGGCGAAATTTTTGCGTTAAAATGCATCGAATGTCGGATTTATCGAATGTCGATGCCATAGAATGTCGGGGGTCCACTGTACATTAAAATCACTTAGAGTCTCTCTACTCTTGAAGATGCCATAATAATAATAATAACAATCTCTTTGGGTGCATTAAATGTCGTATAATACATTAATATAGACATTTCCATTAATCCATCTATATTTTTTCAAAATTATATAAGAAGCACATTACATAACACAAAAACATGATACATACACCCACAGCATAAAAACTGACATAAATATGAGATGTGTTTACCAAGCAGCTTGGAGTGTCGTAAGAATTATGTTTTCTCTAGTCCAACACAAGTTACTGGGAGATAACTGTAGAAAAATATTCCTTTCATATACCTTCACTCTATCTATAGCTATTCACGACCCTTGTGAGTTTAGCACTTCTTTTTTACTATTATTATAATAATAATATCATTCACGCTAAAAATGGTGTGTTGCATGAGAATAGGAGTGTTGCTGTTTATTTATTCATCTGTACTAACTTGTATAACTTGTACACAATGTAAGAGTATTTGTATTGTGAGATAATTACAGTGGTACCTCGAATTTCGGCCAAAATTCGTTGCAGAAGGCTGTTCAAGTGCCATTACTGAACGAATTTGTTCCCATAAGGAATAATGTAAATTAGATTAGTCCATTTCAGACCCCCCAAAAATACACTTACAAAAGTACTTACAAAAATACACTTACATAACTGTTCGAGTTGAGAGCTGTTCAAAATTCGAGGTACCACTATATTATCATAATAAAAAAAAATATTGGGAGGTAATAGTTTCACAAACTCTTACAAACGTACATGAATGAACTAAAATTGGACACTTATTAATAAACGTTTACTTCGCCTGACCGAGTGATTGCCTGCCACTTGTTCAGTTTGTGTTTTTAAATTGTCTGAACTTCATGTATCTCGTTCTCTTTCACTTACTATTACATTAACTAGTTGGCTCTTGTTGACAATGGCGTCTAAGTTTGGTTATGATAAAAAAGAGTTGTAAGCCTCTTACTTTAAGTGCAAACTTTAAGTGCAAAGTTAGAAATGATTAAACTTAGTGAGCTGACTTTTTTGGATTATCCTAGGTTCTCTACACATATACTGCTATGTATAATCTATGTAACTGTATTTGTGTATACCTGAATAAACTTACTAACAAGGTATGTCAGTGGCTGAGATAGCCATCAAATACAGTTACATATAGCAGCATATGTGTAGAGAAGCTAGGATAACCCAAAAAAAAGTCAAAGTAGCTTATTGCTGACATGGAAAAACTTTTACACTGCTACTCACCTTTCACACATTCATATTAATATTTTAAGGTAAGTAACAAGTGTCCTGTGTGTGTATTTTACTTTTTTTTTTTTTTTAATGCCTAGTTTTATGGCTAACTTAATATATGTCAGTGTAAACCTGTTATCTAGCATTTATATGTATTTATCAGTGGAAAAAAAGGGTGTTTCACTTTGTGGTGATTTCTGCTTTACGGCAGTAACCTGGAACCTAAACTGCTGTATACATGGGGCCCTACTGTAGTCCTTTTTTCATTTCAAGCTTCATTTATGTTTCCAAGAGGGTTTCTTTTCCATATACACATACAGTATGTAAATGACAAAAAATTACAAGCTCCAAGAAAATTGGGTATCAAAACACCATTCCAGAAACCATAAAATGGTTGGCAAAAGATTTTCAAGGTCACCAAGGACTCATCATCATTATTGGGAAAAATAAGAGAAAATTGTAGAATTACACACATACGCAAGCATATGCACGTGTGCGCGCGCGCACGCACACACACACACACACACACACACACACACACACACACACACACACACACACACACACACACACACACACACACAGGGTCACAAATGGAAGTTGAAGACTCCTATGAGTCAAAGGGACGTTAGGAAGTATTTCTTCAGTCATAGAGTTGTCAGGAAGTGGAATAGCCTAGAAAGTGCCTTAGTGGAGGCAGGAACCATACTTAGTTTTAAGACAAGGTTTGATAAAGCTCATGGAGCAAGGTGAGAGAGGACCAAGTAGCGATCAGTGAAGAGATGGGGCCAGGAGCTATGACTCGACCCCTGCAACCATAAATAGGTGAGTGTACACACACACACACACACCCTTCTATTCTACCCTAGCAGTCTACAAGACAACTTCAGAATAGGTAGTACGCTAAAATGCTCACTCTCTCACTCACTCCTAGATGCAAGCCAAAATTTCACACAATATAGAAAGTAACAAATTATGAAAGAGGAGCAGCGTAGGACTGAATCTTCATCATTCGAGCAGGAGATATACATACTTTCCACACACAGTTTAGTGTTCAAAAGAATTACACCACTGAACCACAAATTCCATATGAACTACGGAAGGCTTAACACAACCCATACACTGTAATCATATTTTACTTGACTCCCAACAACACCTGTGGCCAATGTTAATTAAGTTCATATACAGTATACTATATGAATGCAATTGTACACTAAGGTTTCACATTACTGATTAAGTGTCTTTGTGAAATTGTGCCCAAACCATCTGGCCAAGCGATGCACATACTAACCACCAAGTCAGCTGGTTATTCCAAAGCACTGTAACTATTAAGCTACCTAGGATAGGTTCCATAAGAGTTGTTGAAGGATTATCAGAAGCCACATTTCTCATTCTACCTGATCCCAACACCACTTATGGCTGTGTAATATTAGTTTATATATACTCTATGCTCCTGTTTGTATACAGTATATATAAAATGTATATATAAAAGTTATGGTACAGGTCCTCCATCACAAATCCAGCATCATTGGGACCTGTAGTGTGCTGGATTACTGAGTTTGCCGAATTACAGAGTGGTTAGGTTCGAATACACTTAATAAAATTAGCCAACTTGACTTACACAGTTCATTGAACATCGGCAAAAATCAAAGATTTCCGCTACTTTGAGCTCAATTTCAAGGTACTTTTTGTCATGAAAGCAATCAAAATCATGTCTATTTCTGTAATATATCTTCCATTCTATCAAATTAGTCCAAAAAAATGAGAATACAACCATAAAAACCATACGAAAATATACTGCAAAGAGGTGGCTAATGGCTGAGAAGTTAACTCCCTTATTTATCGTCCGTCTTTTTTATTTTTGTTGTACGTTAAGAAGCATCTTTCCATCATACATTGCCCAAGTTTCAATGAGATAGCCCAACAAACAACCGAGAAAAAAAATATTTACCAAATATCATATATGGCAAGCCCAAGCCAGGTACTGGAAATAAGTCACATTGTCTGACTGTTCTGGCTTATCCTAGGTTCTCTATACATACACTGCTATGTATGATAATCTATATAACTGTATTTGTGTATACCTGCATAAACTTATTTACTTCTAGTCTGTCAACTGAGTACAAGAAACCACCTGGAGTTTACCTGGAGAGAGTTCCGGGGGTCAACGCCCCCGCGGCCCGGTCTGTGACCAGGCCTCCTGGTGGATCAGAGCCTGATCAACCAGGCTGTTGCTGCTGGCTGCACGCAAACCAACGTACGAGCCACAGCCCGGCTGGTCAGGAACCGACTTTAGGTGCTTGTCCAGTGCCAGCTTGAAGACTGCCAGGGGTCTGTTGGTAATCCCCCTTATGTATGCTGGGAGGCAGTTCGAACAGTCTTGGGCCCCTGACACTTATTGTATGGTCTCTTAACGTGCTAGTGACACCCCTGCTTTTCATTGGGGGGATGTTGCATCATCTGCCAAGTCTTTTGCTTTCGTAATGAGTGATTTTCGTGTGCAAGTTCGGTACTAGTCCCTCTAGGATTTTCCAGGTGTATATAATCATGTATCTCTCCCGCCTGCGTTCCAGGGAATACAGTTTTAGGAACCTCAAGCGCTCCCAGTAATTGAGGTGCTTTATCTCCGTTATGCGCGCCGTGAAGGTTCTCTGTACATTTTCTAGGTCAGCAATTTCACCTGCCTTGAAAGGTGCTGTTAGTGTGCAGCAATATTCCAGCCTAGATAGAACAAGTGACCTGAAGAGTGTCATCATGGGCTTGGCCTCCCTAGTTTTGAAGGTTCTCATTATCCATCCTGTCATTTTTCTAGCAGATGCGATTGATACAATGTTATGGTCCTTGAAGGTGAGATCCTCCCATTCACTTATTTCAACTACTCAATAAAGTGGTCAGAAATTGGCAATTTGGCCGATTTCACACAAATTTCAACATATGCCAATTTCAAAATAGGGTCCAGAATAAACAATGTAGACATTCCTGGCACTAAAATAACAGTTTCTTTGTTCATAAGTCACGTCTCCAGGCCCCTCTTATATTACTCTTGCTTTTCATTTGGAATTTTTATTCAAAAAAAATAGAAGATTTACTGTTATGCAGACTGCTGCATTATTGTAATAATTGTATAAATAATGTCAAGCCATTATTGACTCCGTATTGGACTGACAGGCGGACAGGTATTGGACGGTGACATCATTTGTTTACTCATGAGCTTCGCTAAAGAATAGAACATTTTCGCTACTGTGAGCGCAATTTCAAGGTACTTTTCGTCATGAAAGCAATCAAAATCATATCTATTTCTGTAATATATCTTTCATTCTATCAAATGAGACCGAAAAAATGAGAATATAACCATAACAACCATACAAAAGTATACCGCTAAGCGGCCGCTAATGGCTGAGAAGTGAACTCCACTATTTATGGTCTGATTTCTTTCATTTCTGGTGTACGTGAAGAAGTATCTTTCCATCATACATTGCCCAAGTTTGAATAAGATAACCCAACAAACAACTGAGAAAATAGTAATAATATACGTAATAATAATAATAATAATAATTAATATCTTTATTTATTACACATACATGTACACGGTATACTGGCCTAGCTGACATCAGTGACATACTACTGTATAGAAAGCTGCTTGTTATGCTGAGTATTTCAAGAAAATTAGGTCAGTGTCCCAGGATAACACCCACACTAGTCGACTAACACCCAGGTACCCATTTTCTGATGGGTAAACATAGACAACAGGTGTAAAGAAACATGCCTAATGTTTCTACCCTGGCTGGGAATCGAATATTTACCAAAAATCATATACTATGGCTAACCCAAGCCAGGTACTAAAAATAAGCCACGTTGACTTTTTTTTGGGTTAACCTAGGTTCACTACACATATGCTGCTATGTGTGATAATCTATAGAGAGAAAATAACTTTTTTGTTTCAGGTTTATGATGCGGTAAGAGTGTATATGAGAGTTAGCCCTGTGCTACACTCGTTTTCTCTAATATAAGCCCCAAGACAGGGATAGGAGAATGGTATTTGTATACCATATATCCTCTTCATACTTCTGTCGAACTGCTCGGTATTATGCCAAATATTATTCATTCTGGAGTATTTAACATGTTTTATGTTATTTATATTGTTTCTTATGTCATATTAGATCAATTGTGATAGGCAAATAAGCTGTAGTGTTGATATTAGCATAATAATAAAGCATATTCTCCTGCTTCATGAGACTGAGCTCATGACAACCGACAGTGGCTTCAAAGCCACCTTATCTTTAATGGATAATGTACTGTGTAGGTGCTTTACATAATGAGAAGCATTTCTTTTATTCACTGGAACCATGGCTAGGGCTAAAAGTAAGCAGGTTAAAACAATAAATGGAGAAAAAGAAATTGGAATGACTTATGCAGCAAGTAGCGCCACCAAACAGTACCAGCAGGTTGGTGTGGCGACCCTGGAAATTTGAAATTATGCTAGCCAAAATTAGTGCCGAATAACTGATTGCCGGATTTGTGATGGTGGACCTGTACCAATGTGGTTCACGGGGATCTGATTCTTTTCAGCTCAGTGGGTAGCATATATGCCTCTGACTGAACGTGCACTGATACATCACCAGACACTTCATGTGTATGTATACTTGCCTTGGTATGTTGTATGTGTACTACTGTACTTACAATATTAATTTCTTTGGTTTAAAACTACTGTGGCACCAAATCATCTATACAAATACGTAAGACAAAAATTAGAAATTAAGATTCACCTACAATTATGTAGAGAAATGATGAAGGAATTCTGAGTCTTTATATATGCTTACATTTGATAATTTATGAATAGTAGTAGCCACATCATGTTTTTAACCTGACTGAGAACCTCATTGTACCTTGAATATCAAAGTCTACCTTAAAGTATTATGCTCAGATTTCTTAAGCACAAAGTATCACTCCTATTGAATCCATATATAAAAGTGTTTGAAGTTCTTACCATTAATTTTATGCAGTTTCAGTGCTATATTATTATTATATACAATACTAAGAAATCTTGTCATTTTGGCACATGTATTATCTCAGGCAGCCTATTTGTTTTCAATAAGTGTCTGAAGTTGTAGAACCAGATTCCTTGCTGTGTGAAGAACGGTTTTGGCATCGTGTCTCTCTGCCATTTCTGAAAATAAATAATTAAGTACTGTATATCACGATATGTAATTTGTTACATAGATATTAATTATCTGCACATTATGTATGTATAAAATACCATTTATAAATCACTTATGCTTAGAGAGGAAATTTTAGACATTTTGCTGCATCCTGAACCATTATCCAGTCCAGGATGGATCAAAATGTCTCCTGGGTTATTTATGAATTCTTCCAGCCACAGTACTGTGGCTCATTCTTTTTTTCTCAAATACCATTTCATTCAACAACTCAAGGAAGGTTTGGAAATAAAAATTGGCATCTGTAGTAGCTCTATATTAATAGTACTATGTTTTTAAAGCTTAATAATTAACAGGCCAGTAGGCCAATGCTGCCTGTAGCTGGAGAGAATTACCGTCCTGCGAACATATTTCTAGTTTAAATCTTTTTTATGTTCTAAATAGTTCTACTGTGGGCTAATCATGGGCCATCATATTACTAAAGAAGCAAGTAAAAGTACTGGTACAGCCTACTGTGACTTAGGGTGCATTAAAGACTGAGAGCACAATTTACCATCCCCAACCCCTCCCATCCACAGATCCACTCTGATGAGGCAAGGGGCATTCCATGTCCCTGTGAGTTAAAGACTATGATAATAGAGTTTGTTCCACATGGTGTTCCCCATGCAAGGCTAATTTCTGAGAAAGGGTTAAATGAAATGGCTCCCAGCTCTCTCTACTTATTATCTGGGTGTACCAAATGTTTGTTAACTTTGACAAAAAATATGGTTTTATTGGCTGTTTTTTAGTATCATTTGATGGCATGGAAGACATATTGCCAACAGAGATGATTTTAGTTGGTTTAAGAGCTGAAAAACAGTTTGAAACTGGGTTCAAAGTAGCAGAAATATTAGGTTTTTCTCAATTCTTCTGAGAACAGGTAAGGCCCATTACACCCCCAGTCTGTTTTATGGGGTTTTTAATCAGTCTGATTCAATTATTGACACACCATAAACCATGACCATTCATTCATGGTTATAGTGCATTATCCAGGAAATAAAGTAAATCTTCTATTTTTATGTGATTATGAATTCAAAATGGAAGGCAAGTGTAATATACGAGAGGCCTGGGAATGTGATCAATGAACAGAGGAAATGTTGTTCTAGTGCTAGGAGTGTCTACAATGTTTATTTTTCATTATTTTAAATTGGTATTTTTTTAATTTTGTATGAAACTGGCCAAATTACTAACTGCTGTGCACATTATGAGTACTTAATACATGAATGGGTAGTTTCCTGTGCTCAGTCAATAGAACAGAAGGCATACTAGCAAAGAAGCTAAGGATCTGACCAAATGGAGCAATGGAATTGACTTAAAATAGGATTCAAATTGGGTGAAATATGTGATGCACAAATTGTGTCCAAACCACTAACTTTGCACCTGCTTAACCCTTTCAGGGTTTCTGACATACTAGTACGGCTTGCGCACCAGTGTTATTGACGTACTAGAACGCCTAAATTCTAGCGCCTTCAAATCTAGTGAGAGAAAGCTGGTAGGCCTACATATGAAAGAATGGGTCTATGTGGTCAGTGTGCGCAGTATAAAAAAAATCCTGCAGTATAAAAAAAATCCTCTTTCAGTCGTATATTTACGTCTTAAGAGCCACCGTGTTTGACAACCCTGAAAGGGTTAATTCTATACATTTTCCATTAAATTTTGTACTTTTGGAGTCTTTACCTTCAGAAAAAGATTCTCTACCATTTTTGTACTTTTCTATTAGTATCTCTTTCTTCCCTTGCATAGTAATTCTCACCCTTTTTACCATAGGGTTGGCACTAGAAGCTTTCTTGGGGCCCATGGTGGCTTATTTAGCAGTTACAAGCACTAAAAACAATGGAATAATACAAAATATATTGCAGGTGAGCATGGAATCGACCGCAACAGCTTGTAAACAATGGCACACTGGCTCTACACAGAGTCTTGGAGTGGTTTGGCCTGCTCAGGCCACATGGACATGTTCGGGACGAAAGCCTTTAGACAAGTTTTTTGGCATTGGTCGAGCCAATATTTTGATGCCATAGAGAGCCGTTAGTCGATTTTGGCGTTAGGCAATGCCACCGTTGGTCGAGGGTCCACTGTTTTAAAATCGGGCACATTTCATTCTCCTTGTCAGTAAGACGCCCAGAGTTGTTTTTAAGGAGACCTATCTTATCTCTAACTTTTGTTCAATAAATCTGGAAAAAACCTTTTGGGCTAGTTTTCGAATTCCTAGCGACTTTAATTTCGTAGTCCCTTTTAGCTTTTCTTATTCCCTTTTTAACGTCCCTCTTAATGTCAATATATTAATTCATAAGATGACCCTCACCTCTTTTGATGTGCCTATAAAATCCTTTCTTCTGCTCTAAAAGATATTTGAGCCTATTATTCATCCATTTTGGGTCATTTCTATTTGATCTAATTTCTTTATATAGGATAAACGTTTTTTGGGCAGCATGTATAGTGTTTAGAAAGCTGTTATATTGAAAGCTCTCTTCATTACCCCAGTCAACAGATGATGAGTGTTCTCTAAGCCCATTGTAATCTGCTAAGCAAAAATCTGGGACCGTTACTGAGTTGTTCCTACTGTCATACTTCCATTCAGTGTTGAAGGTAAATGATTTGCGGTTGCTTGCACCAAGTTCCTCTGTAATTTCTAAATTATTAACAAGGATTTCCTTGTTTGCCAGAACCAAGTCAAGCTAGTTAGTTCCCCTTGTAGGTTCTGTTACAAACTGCTTCAAAAAACAATCCTGAATTACTTCTAAAAAGTCATTAGGTTCCTAATTCCCAGTTAAAAAATTCCAATCAATCTGACTAAAGTTAAAAATCCCCTAGAATTACTACATTATCATGCCTTGTGGTCTTAACAAGTTCCTCCCAAAGTAGTCTCCCTTGGTCCCTAATTAAGTTTGGGGGACGGTATATCATGCCTAAAATAAATTTTTCATACCCCTCTAAAAATTATATCCAGACTTTATACTCGTTTTTATGCAACAATTTAAACGATCTTGGACATAGAGTGCCACCCCACCCCCCTTACTGATACTTCTATCCACTTGAAACAATTTAAAACCCTGAATGTGACATTCAGCAGGCATGTCCCGATTTTTCATATTAACCCTTTCAGGGTCCGTCCCGTAGATCTACGGCTTTACGGTGAGTGTCCAAACCGTAGATGTACGCCATGAGCTCAGCTCACTCTGATAAACTGTGAGTGGTACATTTGGGCCTAGATATGAGAGAATACATCTATGTGGTATGTGTGCACCACATAAAACAGATCCTGCAGCACACTGTGTATAATGAGAGAAAAAAAAACTGAAATCATGATTTTTCGATTAAAACAGCGACTTTGCAGTGTTTTTTCGTATGTTTTTTATAGTTGTATTTGCGATTTCTTGGTCTCATTTGATAGAATGGAAGACATATTACAGAAATAGAGATGATTTTGATTGGTTTTAGCACTGGAAATGGCTTGAAACTGAGCTCAAAGTAGCGGAAATGTTAAATTTTTGCTGATATTCAAGAGTAAACAAACGACCTCACACATCTAATACACGTCAGCTGGTGGGTCTAATATACATTCACAAATATGGTGATGATATTTATACAATTATTACAGTATTGCATAACAGTAAATCTTCTATTTTTTGGTGTGAATAAAAATTCATTATGTGAATAAAAAATAAAAATGGAATTTATTTGTAAAGCCTCAAAATGTAACTAATGAACAGAGGAAATGTTAGTTTAGTTCCAGGAATACCTACATTGTTTATTCTGGACCCTATTTTGAAATTGGAATATTTTGAACTTTGTGTTAAATTGGCCAAATTAACAATTTCCAATCACTTTATTTTGTAGTTGAAACAGTTGATTTGGCGATTTCTTGTGCTCAATCGATAGAATAGAAGTAATACTAGTGAAATAGCTAAGAATTTGGTTGATTGGAATAATGTAATTGACCTAAAATGGGAGTCAAAGTCGGCAAAATCGCCGCCTCGTAAATATCGCTGACACATCAAAATTCGCAAGAGCATAATTTCGTCAATTTTCCACCAAATTTCGTACTTTTTGTTTTATTACCTTCACAAAAAGATTCTCTACGATTTCATGAGAAAAAATAACAAATTTTTTTTTTTAAAATTCTTGGACACTGGTGCGTGACTTCAGATTTTGGCCTTGGACCCTGAAAGGGTTAAACCACATCTCAGTTATGGCAACCACTTCAATGTTACCCGCACTTGAAATTAATCTCAATTCGTCCATCTTATTTTTCACACTACGTGTAATGGTGACATTACGCATCCCTGTCTAAGACCTACTTTTACCGGGAAGTAATCTCCCTCTCTCCTACACACCCTAGCCTGAGCCTCACTATCCTTATAAAAACTCTTTACCTATTCCATACACTTGCAACATCTGTCACATTGCTCCCCTATCCTCTCTATCATATGCCTTTTCTAAATCCATATATGCAATGAAAATTTCCCTACCTTTATCTAAATATTGTTCACATATATGCTTCATTGTAAACACTTGATCTACAATCTCTTCTGCTCCCCTTCCCTTTATATAAAGGAATTATACACACACACTGCCAATCCTTCCCCTCTTTTATACAATTCTTAAACAAAAATATCAACCACTCTAGCACTATATCTCCCTCTGCTTTTAACATTTCTGTCATGATCTTGTCAGTTCCAACTGCTTTACCCCCTTTCTTCTACATAATGCCTCATGCACCTCCTCCACACTTAAATCCTGCTCCTCTTCACTCCTAAAAGATGTTATATCTCCTTGACCAGTACATGAAATTACTGCCTCCCTTTCTTCATTGACATTTAAAAATTCCTCAAAATATTCCCACCATCTACCCAATACCTCCAGCTCCCCATCTGCAAACTTTCCTACTCTGTTTTTAACTGACAAATTCATTCGTTCTATAGGCTTTCTTAGCTTGTTTATCTCACTCCAAAATTCTTTCTTATTCTCAGCAAAATTTGTTAACAGTGCCTCTCCCACTCTATCATCTGCTCTCCTTTTGCACTCTCTCACCACTCTCTTCACATTTGTTTTACTCTCCATATACTCTGCCCATCTTATAACACTTCTGCTTTTGTAAAAACCTCTCATAACCTCTTTTATCGCACCCTTTACCTCATCACTCCACCAAACACTTCTCTTTCCTCTTGTACCCACCCTCCTATAGCCACAAACTTCTGCCCCACATTCTAACACTGCATTTTTAAAGCTATCCCATCCCTCTTCAACCCCCCCCCCCCTCCACTACCCATACTTGCACTAGCCCACCTTTCTGCCAATAGCTGCTTATATCTCACCCTAACTTCCTCCTCCCTTAGTTTATAAACTTTCACTTCTCTCTTGCTTACTGTTGCCATTTTCCTTTTGTCCCATCTCCCTCTTACTCTAAGTGTAGCTACAACTAGAAAATGATCTGATATATCCACTGCCCCTTTATAAACATATACATCTTGAAGCCTACCCATCAACCTTTCACCCACCAATACATAATCTAACAAACTATGTACTTTCATTATGTGCTATATCATAACTTACATACTTATTTATCCTCACATTAGTATTAAGATAAAATAAAGATTTATTAAAAAGTTAACCACTCTTATCTTGTCTAGACTTAAGCAGTTATTATGTACTAGGATTTGTCTGCCCAAAATGCCCTGGCATGATAGTGACTTTCATTGTACTTAAACCAAAATTGTAATTACACATTGTAATCTTACTAGCCCATTGCTCCCATCATTTTATTTGACTTTCACAACATGCATGGCTTATGGACGAAAGGTTCTTATCCACTTCCCATAGATATGAAAGGAATAGTAATAAGAACAAGAACTATAAAGATAAAATCAAAGAAAACTCAGATGAGTGTGTATACATAAACGTGTACATGTATGTGTAGTGTGACAAAAATGTAAGTAAAAGTACCAGGACATACCTGAAATCTTGCATGTTTATGAGACAAAAAAAAAAGACACCAGCAATCCTACCATCATGTAAAACAAATACAGGTTTCTGTTTTACACTCACTTGGCAGTATAGTAGTACCTCCTTGGGCAGTTGCTGTCTACCAACCTACTACCATATACAACTAAGTTTATTTATGGGTACTTTATTATTATTATTATAATGATAAAGAAGCACTAAATCCATAAGGGTTATCTAGGAACAGGTACACAAGTACAGTTATTAGTACAGAAGGGCCCTGCTTTACAGTGTTTCGAAAATGCAGCAGTTTTCAATTATACCCACTCTTCATTTATTCAAGACTTCCTACAATAAATATATTTACCACTCACTATAAACTCAGGAAGAAAATATTTTAAGGTTATTTTTAAATAGCTGGACTTGAGTACTGGAAATGGGAAATACAATGCCTGCACTTTAAAGGAGGGGTTTGGGATATTGGCAGTTTGGAGGGATATGTTACATATGCTTCTAAACTGTTGTATCTAGGTGCCTCTGCAAAGATAGTCATTATGTGTGAGTGAGGTGAAAGTGCTGAATGATGATGAAAGTATTTTCTTTTTGGGGATTCTATCTTTCTTTTTGGGTTACCCTGCCTCGGTGGGAGGCGGCCGACTTGTTGGAAAAAAAAAAAAGTAATGTGTGTACTGTATTTAGTTTTTTAGGGCTAGCTCTATTGCTCACTTAATATATGATAGTGTAAACATGTTATCAGGCTTTTATATGTATTTGAAAGGGAAAAAAAGTTTGTTTTGCTTTACAGCAGTAGACCAGAACCTAACTTGTTGTATAAGTAGGGCCCACCTGTATCATCTCAGTCCTATCACAGCCATCGACATACCTTGCTTACTGAGTTTAATCATTTCTAACTTTGCACTTAAAGTAAGAGCCTTATGACTTTTTTTTTTACCACAACTACCCATAGATGTCACTGTAACAAAAAATGTATAAATAAAATATGCAATAACTTTAAAACACTTGAAACTTTGAAAATTTTCAAGACATTAGTTTTAAATTATTACTCAACAAGGAATCGTAATAACAAAGAATACATACCATTAAAGAACTTTATGATATCAGTGAAATCCATATTGTTATCGAGGATAATATCTCGATAATATTCCACTAAGGCCAGTGCAATAAACAAAACAAAATGAGCTGAGGATACATTCCGAGCTGCCCATATTGATTCCCATACCATGAATACGTCATCATACACTAACTCTGAAAATAAAAAATGTACATATATAATTTACAAAACTACCAAGTTAAGAATTTATGAAGCAATATACAGTGGAACCTCGGTTTTCATCTTTAATTCATTCCAGAAAGTCTGACAAAAACCGAATTTGATGAAAACTGAAGCAATAGTTCCCATAAGAAATAATGTAAATCCAATTAAGCCATTCCAGACACTCAAAAGTATTAACAAAAAATACATTTTATAGAGAATAACTATGGTTTTACATATAGAAAACAATGAGAAATAAATATAAAATATAAACATAAGAAGGGAGGAAGACTGCAACAGGCCTGTTGGCCCATACTAGGCAGGTCCTTCACAAATCCAACCCACTAAATGAACATTTAACATAACTTTTACCTTTATCGAAGACTCTTGTTAGCGTATGGAAGATGGTGAGAAGGGGAGAGGAAGGAGAGGTTACTGTTTGGAAGGGAAATCCCCTTCCATAAGGACTTCAGGTATAAAGTCTCTATCCGTGGTTACTTCCCTTCTTTGTCTTTTACTGCTACTAGGACCTGCTTAGAGTCACTGGACTCCTGTCACACAAAAAATCTGTCCAAAGAGGTCTGTTTCTGGTGTCTCCTTAAGATATGCCTAAAATGGGACAAGGCATTGTCATTGAACATGTTGCAGACACAGCTCGCAACAATTTTGTTAGGGTGATATTTCTCCACAAAACTTTGCAACTCATACCACTTTGCACACATGTCCTGAATCACTGAAGAAAGCACATTATCCCCTCTCTCTTCCTCCTCCTCTGAAGCAATTTCCCCAGCTGTGATCTGTTGCTGTTCCAGTTGAAGGTGTTGCAGCTCTTCAGTGGTTAGCTCTTCCCTGTGGTCATCCACCAACTCTTCCACATCCTGGCCACTCACATCCAACCCCATGGTCTTCCCCAAAGCCACAACAGATTCCACAACAGGCATAGGGTTGTCAGGGTCAGCCTCAAACCCTTCAAAATCCTTCTCTTGGATACATTCTGGTCACAATTCCTCGCCTTCTTTAAAGGAACTTTCAGAACTTTCTTTGACCTCATGGTGAATTATTTAGCAGTTGCACTCAATAAACAAGCACAAAAAACAATGGATTATTACGAAATGTTTTGTATGAAGGCGCAGGGTAATGTTCACTTGACGAGAAACAAAACCAGACTGACTCAGAACGTGTGTGTGGGATGCTTTGTGTGGGCACGGGCAGGAAGACACACTCGGTACAGTGGACGAAAACCGAGGTGATGACTGAAAACTGGGACAAAAATTTTGACGAAAAATGTCGTCGAAAACTGAATTTGATGAAAACCAGGGCAAATGAAAACCAGGGTTCCACTGTACAAGATTGCAAATAAGATGAACAGTGAACTTCAGAAGTGAGCACAATGAATCTAGACAGCACAATGAGATATATATGTACTACAAAGAGAGTCATTCAAAGAGTATAATACAAAGCTTTAAGGATACACTGTAATAATTTTTGCATGAATAATTAGAACAGAGAATATGATTAAACTGAGTGACAGAACATGTATAAAAGGAATAATGGTACATTAGAATGGGAGCTAACTATATAAGATGTACTAATGCAATAATTTACATGATTGTGATTACCTAGTGATCTACCTATAGAAAGCATGCTAATTTCATCATCAATAAATAGTGACTTACCTCTCTTAAAGTCAAGGAGGAACCATCGGTAGCAAAAATAGAAGTGGGTATAATCCCCATTTTGATGCATAAGTTCAAACATTTCTGAATCCAGTATTTGTATCAGTGACCTGAGGGAAAAATATAAAAAATAACAATTAGTGACCTAAGGGAGCAAGAACAAATCGCAATGAAAGACACGAGGGTACCAAAAAATAACAGTAAGCAATCTGAGGGGACAAGAAGCAATCATGATCAAAGACCTGAGGGGACAAGAAACAATCATGATCAAAGACATGAGGGGACAAAAAACAACCAGTGACAAAGTGTATATCAGGTGAGATTACAAATCCAAGTTTAGAGAAGAAATTTCAGATGACATTGTTGCACTTACAACAATATCATCTGTTCAATATATTTATTGATGGGGTGGTAAGAGAACTGAATGTGCAGGTGTTGGCAACAGGTGTGGGGTTAAAAGATAAAGAATCTAACACAAAGTGGGAGATGTCACAGTTACTCTTTGCTGATGACACTGTGCTTTTGGGAGATTTGGAAGAGAAGTTGCAGAGGTTGGTGAATGAGTTTGGTAGGGTATGTAAAAGAAGAAAATTAAAAGTGAATATAGGAAAGAGTAAGGTGATGAGGATAACAAACAAATTAGGTGACGAAAGACTGGATATCAGACTGGAGGGACAGATTATGGAGGTGAATGTATTCAGATATTTATTTGGGAGTGGACGTGTCAGCAGATGGGTCTATGAAGGATGAGGTGAATCATAGAATTGATGAGGGGAAAAGGGTCAGTGGTGCACTTAGGAGTCTGTGGAGACAAAGAACTTTGTCCATGGAAGCAAAGAGGGGAATGTATGACAGAAGTTTTTATTGCATTTATGGATTTAGAAAAGGCATATGATAGAGTGGATAGGGGAGCAATGTGGCAGATGTTGCGAGTATATGGAATAGGTGGTAAGTTACTAAATGCTGTTAAGAGTTTTTATGAGGATAGTGAGGCTCAGGTTAGGGTGTGTAGAAGAGAGGGAGATTGCTTCCCAGTAAAAGTAGAACTTAGACAGGGATGTGTAATGTCACCATGGTTGTTTAATATATTTATAGATGGGGTTGTAAAAGAAGTAAATGCTAGGGTGTTCGGGAGAGGGGTGGGATTAAATTATGGGGAATCAAATACAAAATGGGAATTGACACAGCTACTTTTTGCTGATGATACTGTGCTTATGGGAGATTCTAAAGAAAAAATGCAAAGGTTAGTACACGAGTTTGGAAGTGTGTGTAAAGGTAGGGAGTTGAAAGTGAACATAGAAAAGAATAAGGTGATGAGGGTATCAAATGATTTAGATAACGAAAAACTGGATATCAAATTGGGGAGGAGGAGTATGGAAGAAGTGAATGTTTTAAGATATTTGGGAGTTGATGTGTCAGCAGATGGATTTATGAAGGATGAGGTTAATCATAGAATTGATTAAGGAAAAAAGGCGAGTGGTGCATTGAGGTATATGTGGAGACAAAAAACGTTATCTATGGAGGCAAAGAAGGGAATGTATGAAAGTATAGCAGTACCAACACTCTTATATGGGTGTGAAGCTTGGGTTGTAAATGCTGCAGCGAGGAGGCGGATGGAGGCAGTAGAGATGTCCTGTCTAAGGGCAATGTGTGGTGTAAATATTATGCAGAAAATTCAGAGTGTGGAAATTAGGAGAAGGTGTGGAGTTAATAAAAGTATTAGTCAGAAGGCTGAAGAGGGGTTGTTGAGGTGCTTTGGTCATTTATAGAGAATGGATCAAAGTAGAATGACATGGAGAGCGTATAAATCTGTAAGGGAAGGTAGGTGGGGTAGGGGTTGTCCTCGTAAAAGTTGGAGGGAGGGGGTAAAGGAGGTTATGTGGGCGAGGGGCTTGGACTTCCAGCAAGCTTGCGTGAACATGTTAGATAGGAGTGAATGGAGACGAATGGTATTTGGTACCTGATGAGCTGTTAGAGTGTGAGCAGGGTAATATTTAGTGAGGGGATTCAGGGAAACTGGTTATTTTTATACAGCCAGACTTGAGTCCTGGAAATGGGAAGTACAATGCCTGCACTTTAAAGGAGGGGTTTGGGATATTGGCAGTTTGGAGGGATATGTTGTGTATCTTTATACGTACATGCTTCTAAACTTTTGTATTCTGAGCACCTCTGCAAAAACAGTGATTATGTGTGAGTGAGGTGAAAGTGTTGAATGATGCTGAAAGTATTTTCTTTCTTTTTTGGGTCACCCTGCCTCAGTGGGAGATTGCCGACTTGTTAAAAAAAAACAAAAAACTAACACAACTGCCTGCTACTACTTTGAAAAAACTGCTCAGATGAGGTGTTTTGTCTGTGCACTTACAAAACAAACGCCCACAAAAATGCACAGACACTCGTTTTATGTGTGAGGAGTGTAAAACACCATTGTGTATGAAACCATGTTTCAAAGAGTTCCACAAACTGCAAAACTTCTAGGAACATGTCCAGTGACTGTACATTTGTATGTATATTATAGAACAATAGTAATAAAAAATTTTTTGTATTGTTTGTATAAACATATTTTGTAAACAATACATTGATAATTATGTTTGTGCACCTATTGTGTTGTATACAATGAGTTTATACATGTACATTGCACCTTACTTTGGTCTCACAGGCCACATAAGTTATGTGAAAAACAAAATAGTGAAAACAACAAGAAACCTTTGAATGCAAGTAAACCATAGTTTACTGGGTGAGTGGCATTCGCTGCTGTTGTCATATGTGGCTCATTTTCTGTAACTTTACTCCTCTATATCTCAGTAAGTACTGATTGCAATTTTTTTTTTTTTTTTTTTTTGGGGGGGGGGGGGGCCTTAAAACAATCAGAAAATTAATCTTAACATTTTCATAAGATTTTTTTTTTTTTTTTTTAATATTCTTCGACACCAGGAGTCAGTTCAGGATCTGGAGTTGCGACAGTCAAAGGGTTAAGTAATTTCAAGCTTTTGAAGAGTGGTGAAGTGTTGTCTGGCAAAGGAGTTTGTAATAATCTGCACCACTGCTTTTTGTTGGGTTATTAACCCTTTCAGGGTCCGTCCCGTAGATCTATGGCTTCACGTTGAGTGTCCAAACCGTAGATCTACACCAAAATTCTAGTGCCGTCAAATTTAGAGCGAAAACGCTCATAGGCCTACATGTGAGAGAACGGGTCTGCGTGGTGGGTGTGTGCCATAAACAAAAAATCTAGGCGCCCGCATAGCATTGTGGGAACGCCGGCTCAGTTACCCTTGTTCACCATGCCTCGTCGCAAGTCAGCTCTCACTCCCCGGAAAATTGGGACTCTCCTCTTCCTATCTGATAGTTCTGACAGTGATGGAAGTGGAAATGAAGACGAATTCTACGGCTTTGATCAGTTAGTGACCGAAAAGAATGACCAGGATATCGATAATAGTGCAGAAAACCCTGACGATCCTCAACCTTCTACCTCTGGTGTGGGCACTCGTGACTCACGGTCGGCTGTTCCTCAACGCAAGAGAAAACTAATATTTTCGCGTGGCCAGGCCTCTGACTTCAGTAATGATGATGATAGTGACGTGGATTGTGATTTTATTGTGCTCGACGATCATTCGAGTAGTGATAGTGAGGAATCATATTCACCAGTGAAGCGTCGGTATGTTCGCCGCCGCATGCGCTCGGGTAGTGTACCCTATGCTGTGCCCAGGGGACGGAGTACATCCCGGAGTACATCCCGTGGCCCTACACCAGTTTTAGGTAGTGATAGTGAGGATGATGTGGCTACACTTGGCATGGATAGACCACAGGCATCAGTGGATGGTGTTAGTGGTGATGGTAGTAGCACCGCCATGCGTGACTCACCAGCCCACGCTGGGACCCACGCTGCTGACTCGTCAGTTCAAGGACAAAGCGGAGCGTCAGCCACCAGCCCACCACAAACCACAACCACCCGCACAACCAGCCTATGATGTCCAGTATCCACCAGCAAACCGTATGTGGGATTGGCAGCAAAATCCCAATTTTGTTCCCAAGCCTCACCACTTTGATGACTCTCAAAGTGGAATTTTACCTACTTGTCCCCTTGGAACCACGGCCAATGAACTGGAATTCTTTGAATTATTCTTTGACCAGCCATTGATGGAAACTATTGTCATGGAAAGTAATAAGTATTTTGAGTACACCCTGGCAAATACGATCTTATCACCACAGTCAAGACTACACAGGTGGAAAGAGACGACTGTTGCAGAAATGTATTTGCTTTTTGCAACAATAATGCTTATGCCTCATGTGAATAAGCATAATATAAAAGCATACTGGTCCACAGATCGGCTAATTTCTACCCCGGTCTTCAGTGAAATCATACCAGTGAACAGGTTTATCTTACTCTTACGTATGTTGCACTTCTCTGACAAAACCAGGCCTGACAGAAGTGACAGGTTATACAAGATTAGAAATGTTTTCATGTATCTCAAACAAAAGTTCAGCATATACTTTTATCCATTCAAGAATCTTGTAATTGACGAGTCTTTAATTTTGTTCAAACGTAGACTGTCATTCAAGCAGTATATACCGAGCAAGAGGAAACGCTTTGGTATAAAACTGTTTGTACTCTGTGATTGTGACAGTGGCCTGGTGTTGGATATTGTTGTATACACGGGTAGTAAAACATTGAAAGATACCAAGATGTTATTGGGTATCTCAGGTGACGTAGTGAGAAACATGATGGCACCTTATCTTGGTAAGGGGCATACATTATATACCGATAACTGGTACACAAGCCCATTACTCAGTGATTTCATGCGAGTGAACAAGACAGATGTGTGTGGCACAGAGCGTTCTAATCGTAAACATATGCCCAGGCTCAACGCAGGTGCTCGTGGTGATGACGTGCAGGTGTTTACTGCCAATGACATCATGGCATTACGGTGGCATGACAAACGAGATGTCACATTGTTGACAACCATTCAACCGTAATGAAATGCAAGACAGTGGCAAAGTTGATCGAGTGACTAATGAACGTATTCGAAAACCAGTGACAGTGATTGATTATACACAAAACATGCGCTTGGTTGACAAATGTGACATGCAGATTGGTTTTGTTGACTGTGTTCGTAAGAGTTACAAGTGGTACATGAAACTTTTCTTCCATCTCATGGACATTTCAATGCTTAATGCATATAATATGTACCAAATAAAGACTGGCAACAGACCACCGTATGGTGAATTTTGTTTGTCTGTTGTCAGACAACTCATAATGAAGTACCAGGTAAGAACACCTGGTATACAACAAGGTCCTCGAATTCCTCAGGATATACCCAAGCGTTTGAGGAGGGAAGGTGATCATTTCATAATACAACTTCTTTCAACTCAGAAGAAATTTGCTCAGAAGAGATGCATTGTCTGTGCACAAACAAAACAACGGCAACAAAGACGCAAAGACACTCGTTTATGTGTGAGGAATGTAGGTGCCTCTTGCATGGTGGCTTGTTTCAAGGAGTTCCACAAGCTCCAGCAGTTCTAAAACCATGTCCAGTGATTGTAAATATGTAAATATATGATAGAACATTAGTATTATACAAGATTTGTGCATGTTTTATTGTATAAACAACAGTGGTAAACAATAATATGATAATAACTTTAGTGCAGTTATTGTGTTCAATACAGTGAGTTTATATATATACATTATATACAGTATTGGTCTCTCAGGCCCCAAATGTTAGTAAGAATAGAAAAAAATTGGAAAAGAAAAGAAAAAAATGTAAAAACCGCAAAATAATGTAATGCGCGTATGTGGAATTCGTCGATGTTGCCGCCACCACATCATTTTTGACAAACTTCTTGGCACTGTATCTCGGTAAGTACTGATCAGAATTTATTTTTTTTGTCTTATTACCTTCACAAAAATATGCTCTTTAATTCTGTAAGAAAAAATAATTTTTTTTTTTTTCAAAATTTCTTGGACACTGGAGCACCACTTCAGATTTTGGCCTTGGACCCTGAATTAGTAAGTAAGTAAGTAAGTAAGTTTATTCAGGTATACACAAATACAGTTACATAGAATTATCATACATAGCAGCATATGTGTAGAGAACCTAGGATAACCCAAAAAGTCAGACAGAGTGACTTATTTAAAGTGGCTGGCCGTTGTAGATCCCCAAGCACATATACCATAGGTGAGGTAAGTGTATATTAGAGTGATATAAAGTATGGAGCACCTTTCGGGGTACATAGTATCGTATCTTGGAAAGGATACCTACTGTTTTGAAAAGTTTTTTAGTTATATGCTGGATGTGGGTCTGTAGTAGGATGTTATTATTTCACCCAAGTGCTTTCTTGTTTGAGGAACTTGGAAGTTTACAAACTAATAATGCAGCAGCAGCTGTGTAGTATGAACTAAAATAATTTAATTGCTTCATGGTATGTTTCATTATCAATATTTACAAGTACACTTACAATAATCTACTGTATGCATATGTTGTTGTAGGTAGTAGGTTGGTAGACAGCAACCGCCCAGGGAGGAAGTACCGTCCTGCCAAGTGAGTGTAAAATGAAAGCCTGTAATTGTTTTACATGATGGTAGGATAGCTGGTGTCCTTTTTTTTGTCTCATAAACATGCAAGATTTCAGGTACGTCTTGCTACTTCTACTTACACTTAGGTCACACTACACATATGTGTACAAGCATATATATACTACACATCCCTCTGGATTTTCTTCTATTTTCTTTCTAGTTCTAGGTTTGTTGAAAAAAAAAAATGCATATGTTGTATTTATTTTACTCACTGTCCAGTGTGGTAGGTCATAATACAAGAACTTCACTCCTTGAAACCAGTTACTTCCTTGAGTACTGATTTAAATTGTTAATCGGATCACTTATCATCTTAAAACATGCACTGACGTTGCTGTTGCAGGGGTGACAAACTTGTCCTGGCATGGTGCCACCATGGTCAAATAATTTTCTCAATGTTAGCAAACATTTCCCTGGAAATTACTGTAGATTGTACAAGTTTCAGAAAAAATACAAAACCAATGGTAATGGAGAGTTGTAGGTCACAGCAGCTGGTAAGCTAAAAAAAACTGCTATAAGATGAGGTCTCCTGGTGTAGCAAGGATTACCCCAGGATAATTGTTTCTTTAGTAATTGTATCCTAAGAGATGAATCTTGCAGGTGAAGGCTATATTTTGTCCCACATATCATGACCTTGGAGTGTTCAAAGATGAGGGTAAGCACTCTAAAATTCTTCCTCCCTTTTTTCCTTTCCATTCCACAAGCCAAATTTTGTCCAGATTGACAAGATGAGGAGCCTCTGAGCCCCACATAGAAAGGTAGATTCAACTTATTTTGGGAAAGGAAAGAAGAGGTAAACAGTTTGTGGAGGATGAGTCACACTTATTGTAGAAGAGCAAGATGATGGCTACTCTACATTAATGTGGACTTGGGAAGAGGCAGTGTGTACAGATCATTGATCCATCCTAGCATCTGTCCTCACAGCACTCTTCTCATGGCCGGCTGCCATGGCATTAAGATAAAACAGAGATGCCTCACTTGCTTGAGTGTCTCATATCTTCAATAGGAAGTACAGTACCCTTATTTATTTAGGAACACTAGATGTTTGTTATTTATTATTCACAGATATTCAGGGTACATTACATGATGGTAGGATTGCTGGTGTCCATTTTTCTGTCTCATAAACATGCAAGGTTTCAGGTACATCTTGCTACTTCTACTTACACTTAGGTCACACTACACATACATGTACAAGCATATATATACACACCCCTCTGGGTTTTCTTCTATTTTCTTACTAGTTCTTGTTTATTTCTTCTTACCTCCATGGGGAAGTGGAACAGAATTCTTCCTCTGTAAGCCATGCATGTTGTAAGAGGTGACTAAAATGCCAGGAGCAAGGGGCTAGTAACCCCTTCTCCTGTATATATTACTAAATGTAAAAGGAGAAACTTTTCACTTCTCCTTTTGGGCCACCCCACCTCGGTGGGATACGGCCAGTGTGTTGAAAGAAGAAAGATTCAGGGTACGTATGAATGTGTTTGTACCCGTGATTTACATATCTTGTCAATCACAGCCTAGTCATGTATAAATAATAAATAAAAACTCCTAACCCTTGCATTATATATATAACCTGGAGAAATTCTTAGTGCACTTCCATTTCTTTAGTGATAAGGGCCAAGCCAGATGTGTTAAAGCACCAGTGTAGGCTTGGGGTCCTTACCTCTAAAATATAAATACACATACTGTAAAGCCATCTTGGAGTGGTTTGGTGCAGACTGCAGCCCTTCGCTATATCCACTCGTAACATATAACTAGCATTCTTTTTTATATAAGGTAAGTGGAAGTATATCTAACCTCATATTAGCAAAGTGCTGATCCATTGCACCACCATTTGGGAAGTTATGAGACATGCGGCCCATCAGGTGGCAGAAGCACGAGTATGTGGCTGCTTCATCATCAAAAATAACAAGAAGTGGTGCAACCAGATCACACATTCCTTGCATGTATCCTGTATCAAGGTGTTCCCAAACGTATCTACAGAAAAAAAGCATAAATTATGGAAAAGAGCAAGTTTGATCATTCCTAGAGTCACCTAGACGACAAAAACTTAATGACATTCCATAATGTAGTAGAACAAAATGAAAACTTTTACTTAATAAAGCTTGCACATGTTTTACATATGCCTTATATTAAGCAGATCTTAAAGAAAATAAGTTGAGTATTTCTTACTTTTGAACTTTCAAAATAAAACAGACTCACGTGCACATCACATTACGTAGTTTCTCAAGGTTATCTTGAGTAAAGTACCAGTAGTTACGATCACACCTTTGTACATCTTTATCAATACGGTGCAAATTCAGCCCAAAGGTTTCCAGCAGTTCCATCTGAGAATATTCATAAAATATTTATTACTTAGCAAATGAGAATGAAGAAGGATGAAAAAACAGAAATTCAGCAATAGATAAGGAATATTTTCTTGACAAAATCAATAAGAACACAAGGTCATAACTTATTACAAAGAGTAGTGCAGGAAAGATATTAAAAATATTTCTTCACAAAAAAGTGGTTTACAACTGAAAAAGGCATTAAAATTTTAATAGTAAAGTCAGGGCAGCATGAGCATAGATCTGCTCTTGTATCTATAAATAGGTAATCAAAACTGTGCTCATGAAGTAGTAGATTATTTTTTGGATTGCACTAACTTATCAAAGCAATACTTACTGAGTACACTCCTCCCTGAGAGGATGCTGGTGAAATACAGGATGATCTAGATTCTAAACTGTGGCCATCTTGGTTTTCTTCAACAGCTAAAGTATCCATGTTCTTATCATCATTACCAGGTACATTTTCTGAAGTGACATCACCATGTTCTTTGGCACTGTCTTCACTAGTTCCATTTTCTGTGATACTCTTGACCTCATCATCTACTGCAGCTTCATCATCCACACCATTTACTGCAAACAATAATACTCTCAGATGATATAAACAAATTATGGCATTAATTCATTTAGATGAAAGAAATCAGTAAAGAATCAGAAAAATACAGAGCACAATATATAAAAATTAAAATTCTTTATATGAGAAAACAAAAATACTGTAGTAAGGTTAATATTAAAAAGGTAAAATAAAAATATTAAATAAACCTTGCAATTATTGCAATATATAAAAATGTTGCATAAGCAAAGTAATTTCCAGTCCAGGTATTAAAGATCTGCATAACTATTACAAACTGCACTACAAGAGAAGTGACAAATGTACAATTTACACTAGTATACAAGCATACTTAATTAAAAGAAAATCACATACAGTATTGTATAACATTGCAATTTATTGAAGAAAAAATAAAAAGCATGCTATTAATTTGGTGGATTTAAAAAAAAAATAATAAAAACGTAAAAAAATAACTACTGAAAATTAAGTCTTTTCTTCTTCTTTCAACAAACTGGCTGTATCCCACCGAGGCAGGGTGGCCCAAAAATAACAACAAAAGTTGCTCTTTTTACATGTAATAATTAATACAGGAGAAGTGGTTACTAGCCCTTTGCTCCCATCATTTTAGGTTCTGATGAACCACTAAGGTATACAGCACAACTTCTCTAGTATCACCTTGCCTTGTGCTAATTTTGGTCCTCTCCTTACCTCTTATAGTTCTAAATGCCTCCTTCTGCCTTCCATTTTCTCTATTAGGAAGTAACTTTTTTCAATAAATGATCACTGGCTCCTACAATAAACTATCAGCATCTAGACCAGTATCAACATAGAAAGCTTTTAGCACTCTCCCTATGGAACTGTACCTATTAGTAGAGTTCTGTTGTAGACTCTAAAGCTCCACACAATTGTTTAAAGAAGATAGTCACAGATTTTCTTTAGTGCAAAGAGCTTAGTCATACCAGGACTACATGTCCAGTGATACAGTCACATCAACAGAAGATTTCACAGAGAAGGATTATGACAAGAAGGAAATACTTCCCAAAGACATATGGATGTAGTAAGAGATATTAGTGTTGATAGACAATGATCAGACTGTAGATGGTTCTCACATGCCACCAACAACTTCTCTTAATATGTCTGCCTAAGTATGAAGACAAGAACTCTATTTGCTGTTGCCCACACAATGTCCATCAAATTATCTCCAGAGATGGACTATAATATGAAAATCTTCTCATCCAAGTTACAACTTGCCTACAACAAGTTACAACTTGCCTACAAAACATGTAGCCAGGAAGATACCCATATGGGAATAATAATGGCTTTATCTCAGGCTCACATGGATCAAAATAAGGAAAATGCAATATTTACAGAGACCTATGAGATCATTCAGTGACACTGTCAATGAAATGGTATATACATTTACAAATACTAACTAAAACTAAGGCTTAAAAGATAAAGCTAACCCTCATAAAAATCCACCATATTAAGGATTATGTAGTTCAAGCAAACATGTGTGCTATTTTCTGAGTCAATATCATGATGAGAGTTCTGGGTCATCCACACCTAAATATATGGAACCTCGGTATGCGATCTTAGTTCATTCCAGAAGGCTGTTCAAGTGCTGCTCCGTTTGAGTATAGAACAAATTCTTCCCAACCAATTTTCTGTTTGATTGGTTGTTATCACTAATCTTCGTAGGCCCCATGGTGACTTACACAAATACAAAAAAACACCAAAAAATGCCAAGAAACACAAAATAGTTTACAATGAAGTTCTGGCAGGTCGCATTTGTTTAGTCAAGTGCTGAGTTTTGTTTGAGTAGAGAGCTGGTCGTATACCGAGGTTCCACTGTATAATTATTGCAAGCAATTAATGAATCATTTCAAGATGTGACAAGCATAAGCATCAAAAAGAGATTTTTTGGCAGTATGATCTTCTTTCTCTACACTTCTCAAGAGTTTTGTAGATCTAATCCCAAAGGAGATATGACAATTCATTCATTTGGCCATAAAATACAGTACTTTCTCTACTAGGTCAGCTGCATCTGCTAAACTCTCATTCTCTTTCCACATAGTACCTAGGAAGAGGTAGACGTTTAATTAGTCTAAAACCACTTTCAAAGTAACTCCCCTAAGAGAAGGGGCCTATCTTGGCCTTCCTTCCTATGGGTTTAGTGTTTTCCCCTGATTAACAATTATAATTCAAAGCTACTTAAATCCACAGATTTGACAGATGCTTGAAATGACCTTTGCAGGAGTGTACTGAGGATACTTTAAATGCTCAACACATCACAATTATTATAAAGGTGTGAGCTCATGACAAAAGTACCTAACAGCTAACAGGTTCTTGGACTAGTGGTCACAGTACAACAGCTGATTATTAACAATGTCATCATTCATCTGAGAGCTCTTAATGTAACACAACTTCATGGAAGTATGGAAGATATTCCTGAAGCTGTTTAAGTCCCGAATGACTAAGATGTCTGAATTTCTAGAGAATCTATTCTCCAATACAGCAGTTCGACTAATCATAAATTACATCCAGCTAGGCACAGGGAACTTATGTCTTGTACGTATGTTTAAGCTACCAGGAAAATACAATATTAAAGTTATCCCAGACATGAAAATAAGTTGTCTTTAGGAGGCTTGTTTTGGGATAGAGGGAGATCCACTCAATGAGGCCCTGAGATTCAGAGACCATCTTAGAAATACAAGTCTCCTCCACTGTTGTGATTTCCCACTCCCCATGTCCTCGGTTCGACCACTTCATTATTAGTGATTGTTTAAAATTTTATCTAAGCACAGAAAAGAAACCAAGCTTAATTCACAAATAATTCACATTTAAAAGAGGGTTATTTGTAATTTGTATCAGCCATGGTGTTGTAACTTTTAATACTTCATCCTCATTCAAGGCTTCAAGGACCTGACCTGCCTTTAGCCACTGCTAATATTAAAGATGTCAAGAAGGAATCCATTGCCAAGGTTCCTTTTACCCTAGTCCAATCTTGTTGGTCATCTACAATAAGTTCATAAAGGGCATTCTACTATGTTCCCATTCTCCAAGATATCTGCCGACACCATCTTCCAAATAGGAGTAAAAGGGGGTGAATTGCCTTTTGTGACCATGCCTTTTCGGTCTCAACGCGACTCTTTATATTTTCACTTGAGTTTGTTATCCACTTATCAACAGCTTCAAGACACAGGGCTCATCAGTGTTTGCCTAATTAGCAGAATTTGGGATGTCACTACTGACAAGTTATGGCTAGGCTACAGGAACTCCTGGAAGTTTGCACTACCAGCTGGTGTAGTCCTAATTAAACATAAACTTTGCTAAAGCAACTACTGTCACACCTTGTGACATTATGTGCTGCAATGCAACAAAACTGATGAAGTCAGAGAAAAATTACTTATTAATGCTCAAGAAATGTTGAAGTGTTTTATCAACAGTGGCATATTACCAGCCACTATGAAAAAATACCTTAATTTTGCCTATTTTAAGTAACTTGCAGCCACCTTAATTTATCTAAATGCAACCATATCTTGCTAAATATGATGTACTCCTAAACACATACATTACAGTGCTTTTGTGACTGAATTCGTGACAATGTAAAGTCATTATAATTGCTCTGAGGTCATGAAAAATGGTAAATAGTTCTTTACCACTGTAATCTGCTTGGCAAACACAAATACTGGGGATCAGTCCATTTGTTATCCTTTGACTAATGAATAATGTATGTATATATTCATATAATGAAAATAATATCTGAGGTGAAGGAAATCTGATATGTTATAATTGAAAATGAAACATTGTTTAAAATAGTAAATCAAATACAATACTTATGTTACAGTTTGATTTCTGCTTGTCAGTAAAATATTTTCTTTAGGTAAACTTGGACTGTGAATCCCCTCCATGAACTGCAGTTATAGTACATATTATGCTTTTATGTTTTTGTTTTCTTAAATTGCTATTTCTATTGCCCCCATTATACTAATCAGAGTGCTGACCCAAATAAAGCTATTTCACTGGCATGCTGCAGTGATGGATTCTGGACCCAAGAATGAACTATTGACAATGCTGGGGGTTGGGGGCTGCACAGGCCCATAGATAGAGAAGGGAATCTAAAACTTTCAGGTCTCTACAGAAAATGAAGGATGAGTTCCCTCATATCTAGTTATCCATAAGTGTTTCTACTATCATAAAGAAAGCTCTGAATCTGAAAAAAGGTGAAAATTTGGAAAATTTCTCTTAATTCAGATTTTTCTGAGTAACTGAGAATGCTTTCTGAAATTTTGGAATGCTAATGTTCTAAGATAAAAAAAAATAATATTAATTAAGAATAACTCTATAATTCACATTCTATCATTGTCTTAATACGAGAACTAGCTAGAAGTGTCCAAATTCTATTATTCAGAATTTTCTATACAAATATTTGGTCACCCTTCCTGGGCATGCATTACTATTATTCTGAGTACGAGAGATATTATTGTATAGAAATTTTGTATTAGGGACGACTGTCATACTGCATATTAATGAACAAAGTTATACATCTTGGAAAATATAAAATATATATAATGGACAGATGCTGCACTTGGAATATCAGTTATGAAAGCCATATATGTACTCTACTTTTGAAAGCCTATGATTTTTTTTTTTATTTCAACATTAGCTATCAAATAAGCTAAAAATTATCTGCCTCAACAGTGAACAAAAATTTAATTTAAATGTGTAATATCTTTCTATGAATGTAATCTGGAGAATATATTATATAAAAAAAAACAGTGTACAAGAATAATTTTCTGAGAAAGGACATTACATCTGATGTGGTTATAGAAACAGAATATTATAGAGCTACATATGCGAGCGTAAATCCTTTGGTTTAAATTTCACTTATCTACCTCAGTGGGAACACCTTCAAAACCTTCATCTCCAGCAGAATAAGCAAAATCAAATTATTGCAGAGCTGCGAGAGTCACAAAGCGGGCATAAGAAACACAATGACTACACACCTACGTCAGAGTGGCTGCCACTGTCTAGGGAGGCTTTGCTAACTATAACTGGGGTGGTGATGGGGGGATAACATGTCTCCACGGTGAACGAGCCACTAACACAGGCTGCTGTAAGAACGGAAATACTAAAGATACACACAAACACCAATGCTACTAGAGTAAACAAAATGAGAAAATAAAGTATGATTGATATTATCAGTGCTATTAGAGAAAACAAAACTCTTAAAGGAATTCATTATATAAATATTAATAGAAAATAATATTAGCATAAACTCATCAGTGGATGAATATAAACATAATATAAGTAGACGAAAAATATTCCGACCTCTGGAATAGAAAAAATATATTATTGGGTTTATTTATATGCCATATTTAAGAAAGTATCACAAAAAGTATCCATTTTTATATACAAACACTATAAAACACTGCCAATAATATGAAAAAAATTGTGTGGTATACTGATTCATATGTAATGCAGTAACTTTCTTCCTCTGTGATATGTTGCAAAATTGTATGTCTAATAATATGGACTAACTCCACATATTTAATAATATAATTAACTGGGTCCTGCACTGCAATAACATGATTCGTTTTTTTGCTATGTAATACAGTGGACCCCCGCATAACGATGGCATCACATAGCGATTATTTCGCATACCGCTTACTTTAATTGCAAAAATTTTGCCTCACATACCGCTTAAAAACCCGCTTACCGATTTTCTTCCGAGACGCGCTCACATGTTCCGCCGGTGGCATTGTTTACCAGCCAGCCTCCGCGGTAACATCCAAGCATACAATCGGAATATTTCGTATTATTACAGTGTTTTCGGTGCTTTTTCTGGAAAATAAGTGACCATGGGCCCCAAGAAAGCTTCTAGTGCCAACCCTACAGCAATAAGGGTGAGAATTACAATAGAGATGAAGAAAAAGATCATTGATAAGTATGAAAGTGGAGTGCATGTCTCGAGCTGGCCAGGTTGTATAATAAACCCCAATCAACCATCGCTACTATTGGTGGTACAGCTGCTGCTGCTGCTGCACTGTCAGCTGCTGCTGCTGCTGTAGCACCGTGTTGGTGTGGCTTATTGAGAATACCAAGAAAACAATTAACCCCAGAGGATTTGCCACCCAGGATAACCCAAAAAAGTCAGTGTCATCGAAGACTGTCTAACTTATTTCCATTGGGGTCCTTAATCTTATCTCCCAGGATGCAACCCACACAAGTCGACTAACACCCAGGTGAACAGGGAAAAATGCCTGGAACTAGTGCTCATATTGGTGAATTTAAAGCCAGCAAAGGTTGGTTTGAGAGATTTAAGAATCGTAGTGGCATACACAGTGTGATAAGGCTGTTCTGGAAGAAAATGCCAAACAGGACCTACAGTACTCAGGAGGAAAAGGCACTCCCAGGACACAGTGTCTCATCAGTCATTGCTGCATCTTCAATAAAGGTAAGTGTCATTTATTCTTCATTTAGTAGACTAGTTACATGCACATATATACTGTGCATGTACTACTCTACTATTGTGCATGTATCCTTCTCTTTGTGTGTGGGAAAATGTATATTTCATGTGGTAAAATTTTTTTTTTCATACTTTTGGGTGTCTTGCACGATTAATTTTATTTCCATTATTTCTTATGGGGAAAATTCATTCACATAACGATTATTTCGCATAACAATTACCCCTCTTGCACGGATTAAAATCGTTAACCGGGGGTCCACTGTATTATTAACTTCCTTACTGTTACAAACACGCCAGAAGCTGTGAATCAACCCCTATAACCACATATAGGCGAGTGCATGCACACACGCATGCAAGACTCTGTACATCATGTACATCAGGCCCATACTGGAGTATGCAGCACCAGTTTGGAACCCACACCTGATCAAGCACTTCAATAAATTAAAGAAAGTGCAAAGGTTTGCAAAATGGTGAGTTCAAGAGCTAAGGAAAATGTCCTACAAAGAAAGGTTAACTGAAATCAGCCTGACAACATTGAAGGACAGAAGCATTAGGGGAGATATGATAACGATATACAAAATACTGTGAGGAATTGACAAGGCGGACAGAGACAGGATGTTCCGGAGATGGGACACAGAAGCAAGGGGTCACAACTGGAAGTTGAAGACTCAGATGAGTCAGAGATGTTAGGAAGTATTTCTTCAGTCAGAGAGTTGTCAGGAAGTGAAATAGTCTGGAAAGTGATATAGTGGAGGCAGTAACCGTATATAGCTTTAACCCTTAAACTGTCCAAATGTAGATACACATTTGCTCACGTCGCGCTCCGAACGTAGATCTATGTTTTTTTCACATAAGAAAGAATGTAAAATCGAACGCAGATCTATGTTCAGAGCACTACACGAGCAAACGTATATCTATGTTTGGACAGTTTAGGGGTTAATACGAGGTAAAATGAAGCACATGAAGCAGGGAGAGGACCTAGAAGTGATCAGTGAGGTGAGTCAGGAGCTATGTCTCGACTCCTGCAACCACAAATACGTGAGTACACACACAAACACACACAAACTTGAGATTCAAAGAAGTGTTCACAGAGGAGACAGAAGGGACTCCAGAAAGACGGAGAGGTGGGGTACACCCCCAAGTGATGGACACAATACATACAACCAAGGAAGAAGTGAAGAGGCTGCTGAGTGAGCTAAATACCTTAAAGGTGATGGGGCTGGATAACATCTCTCCATGGATCTTGAGAGAAGGAGCAGAGGCACTATGTGTACCCCTAACAACAATATTCAACACATTTATTGAAACGGAGATTACCTGAGGTATTGAAGACAGCAAATGTAATCCCAATTTTTAAAAAAGGAGACAGACATGAAGCACTAAACTACAGTGTCACTGACATGTATAGTATGCAAAGTCATGGAGAAGAATATCAGGAGAAGAGTGGTGGAACACCTAGAAAGTAATGATCTCATCAACAGCAGCCAACATGGTTTCAGGGACAGGAAATCCTGTGTCACAAACCTACTGGAGTTCTATGACATGGTGACAGCAGTAAGACAAGAGAGAGAGGGGTGGGTGGATTGCATTTTCTTGGACTGCAAGAAGGCGTTTGACACAGTACCACACAAGAGATTAGTGCAAAAACTGGAGGACCAAGCAGGGATAACAGGGAAGGCACTGCAATGGATCAGGGAATACTTGTCAGGAAGACAGCCGCGAGTCATGGTATGTGGCGAGGTGTCAGAGTGGGCACCTGTGACCAGCGGGGTCCACAGGGGTCAGTCCTAGGACCAGTGCTGTTCTGGTATTTGTGAACGACATGACGGAAGGAATAAACTCCGAGGTGTCCCTGTTTGCAGATGACGTGAAGTTGATGAGAAGAGTTCATTTCGATCGAAGACCAGGCAGAAATACAAAGGGATCTGGACAGGCTGCAGACCTGGTCCAGCAACTGGCTCCTGGAGTTCAATTCCACCCAAATGCAAAGTCATGAGGATTGGGGAAGGGCAAAGAAGACTGCAGATGGAGTACAGTCTAGGGGGCCAGAGACTACAAACATCACTCAAGGAAAAAGATCTTGGGGTGAGGGATAAACACCAGGCACATCTCCTGAAGCGCACAAACAACCAAATAACTGCCGCAGCATAATGGGCGCCTGGCAAACCCCAGAACAGCATTCCGACATCTTATAGGAATCGTTCAGGACCCTGTACACCGTGTACGTTAGGCCCATATTGGAGTATGCGGCACCAGTTTGGAACCCACACCTAGCCAAGCATGTAAAGAAACTAGAGAAAGTGGCAAAGGTTTGCAACAAGACTAGTCCCAGAGTTAAGAGGTATGTCCTATGAGGAGAGGTTAAGGGAAATCAATCTGACGACACTGGAGGACAGGAGAGATAGGGGGGACATGATAACGACTTACAAAATACTGAGAGGAATTGACAAGGTGGACAAAGGGGGCAGGATGTTCCAGAGACTGGACACAGCAACACGGGGACACAGTGGAAGCTGAAGACGCGAAAATCAAAGGGATTTTAGGAAGTATTTCTTTAGCCACAAGAGTCAGGAAGGGGAAATATTTTGGGGGAAGCGAGTGGTGGGGGCAGGATCCTACAAGCTTTAACAGGGGAAACTAAAGCCAGGGTTCGGGAGATGCCTAGAGCGGCCGTGAAGAGGGGGGGCCCAGGAGCTTGGATCGCCCCGCAACCTAAACTAGGTGATACAACTAGGTGATACCAAGTATCAGGAAGTGGAATAGTTTGGAAGTATTGCAGGGGGAGGCGGGACCCATACATATTTTTAACAGAGGTATGATAAAGCTCACGGTTGGGGAGGTGGCCTTTAGGGCCAGTGAAGAGGGGGGGCCGGAGCTAGACTCGACCCCTGAAACCTCAACTAGGTGAGCACAATGGTGAGTTCACACTTTTTACCTGGGAAGAGTTCCGGGGGTAACCCCCCGGGGCCCCGGCTGTGACCAGGCCCCCGGTGGATCAGAGCCTGGTCAACCCTTTTTACTGCGGGCTGCACGCATGTGAACGAATACAGAAGGATAGACCAGAATGTCCCTGTTTGCAGATGAGTGAAGTTAATGAAGAAAAAATAACCCTTTCAGGGTCTGGGGCCCTCCCCAAAAATTTGTTTCAGGGTCAAAAATTATTTTTTCTTATGAAAAAAAAATGAAAAACTTTTCCCGACATAATGACACCAAAGTATGAAATTTGAGGGAAAAAATTGGGAAATTATGCCTCACGAAGTTAGCGATCTCGACGATTTTATATTGTCAATTTTCCCAACTTTGGGGCCCAAAAATTTTTGGGCCCAAAATTTCCAGTTTACTATCGACAAAATCCATCCCATTTTTTCTTCGAATGAGTACAAAAAACCACCCATTTCCCATTTCTTTCCCAATAAAGTGGTCAGAAATTGGGATTCTGCCAATTTCACAAAAATTTAAAAAGATGCCAATTTCCAATGGGTCCAAAATAAACAAAAATACACCCTGGCACTAAAAAAAAAAAAATTTTTTTTGCTCTTTGTCAAGCCCCCGGGCCCTTCTTACTTTTCTTTTCTTTCCATTTAAATTTTATTCTCACAAAAAAAATAGAAGATTTACTGTTATGCGACTACTGCATTAGTGTAA